GTACTGGGTCTGGAACGGTGTCCACTCAGCCTCGTGAGGATAATCGAGGAGCTATTTGAATGGAAAGTAGCGGCTCCGGTCTATAAAACCGAGATTAACAATCGTGAGGATTCGTTGCGGTGACCTCTATCCGCTAAAGTTGGTACTAACTACGCCGACAAGCGGCGGTCCCTCTGTCAGTATAGTTCGCTTGCGGACTCAAGCCACGGAGTTTGTTTATAGTCTTTAATGACTTTTATGTTATATATATTGTAGCATATCAGTAGTAGTATCAGTTTTATGTAGATTCACCATAAATCACTGGCGACAAAGACGAGTCAGTCTTATACCTTGAAGATGGGGACAGAATATTCCTCCGAAACAGTGGTACCTCTGCCGTACAACGGAGGAACCACATCACAGCGAGAATCTCAATTTTCACTCAGTTATAATTAAACCTCATGAAAACTATAAATTAATTAGGGTCGATGCACGAGGTAAAATTTAATTTTTTTCCCCCAGATCTTTAATTTTAGACACGGCTACATACATATACAACCCTCATATTAGGCATTCACTTTATGTGGAAAAAGACGTAATTCGTTCATAATGTTCCAAACATATCAAAATCGTGATTTTAAGAAAAAACTCAGCTTTTTACAGTTATGTGTTTGGCAACACTGACAAGTCAGATTGAATATCTTTGCTTCCACATTTATTTGAAGGAAACTTTGTTGTAACAGCTCTGAGATAATCATCTATGATCATTGTTTATGTATGCATCTGGCACATCCTATGACCTTGGCACACTCTTGCACTGCATTGTACAACCGCTCTACGCATGCGTTATCATTCACCCAGACTGCAGGTGTGTTTGCTCAGGTTATGTAAGTTTGATGGATTGATTCTGGATGTGCTTAACTACGCCTCTCTGGTTCCCGGATTGCTTAAACGTCCATTTATCTTGTGGGTTATTTTATGACGCGCCGGTCTCAATGGCCGCTTGGTCTAAGGCTTGAAACGTCTTCACCCCTAGAAAATTGGGATCTTTGCTTCGAATCCCACTAGAGGCGTGGATGTCTGTGTGCATTTCATCTGTGTTTATGTTAATCTGTATGTAGCTAGAGGCCTTGCGACGGTCTGATCCCCCGTCCAAGGAGTTCTACAATTGTGTATAGATTAAAAAGCTGAAACAGGGGCCAGGGGCCACAATGGCTGTAGATCCATAGATAAATATTTTATGACTCTGCTAATAGCTGTAATTGCGTAGCAACGATTGGTGTAGGTTTGTTGAATCAGTGATGAATTGGAAGGGATTTGGAAGGAAACCGTCGTATTCTAATTGAGGTACTATCCATCCATTTGACGGGGGCAATTGGGGGAGAAATCTCAGGATATTATCATAACCGCACTCGGATTCGAACCAAACACCTCCCGAACGAGTCGAGAGAGGTACCGCTGTGTTAACCCGCTCTTTATGTAGCTTCTAATTCTTTGGATTCTAAAGGCTTCTGACGATGGTCTATAACACTCAGCATTGCCGGGTTTTTAGACTGTCCATCGTTCGGTGTTCTAAAAACACAACGTTTCAAAAGCAGGATCTGTTTCCATCCTCAGGTGAGGGGTTGGGTGACACCTACTGTGTGGGATCCGTCAGAAAAAATAACAATTATTGAGATCAACTCTTTCTAACGCACCCAACAGAGTAGGTGTCTCACACTCCATCATCTGAGGACGAAAATAGATCCAGTTTCCTAAATACTGTATTACATAACAACGTTGTCCGGGTTATTTTGTTCTGGAGTCTGAATGGCTCAGTCGTTACGGCGGCTAGGCTACGGACAAGACAGCCGGGTCTGGGTTCAATTCCCGGGCAGAGGTAAGAAATTTTTCTCTTCGGGCTATCCTGTCTATCCACCGTTTGTTAGGGCCTCTTGCTCTGGGGTAAAGCAGCCCAGAGCATGAAGCTTACATTAAGAATGCGTGGAAGTATAACTACCTTCATTCCCTCGTACGTGGCATCGTGTTTAAGAGTCTGTATTTGTGTTATATAAAAATTGTTTAATTTTGCTCAAAGGAAGAAAATGTTGGCACGTTGTAGAATGTTGAATTTCATATCTGGAGGTTGTTAATCCCGACATCTGTAACAGTCGCCAGACGGTGTCGCCTTATCACCAGCGCAGTTGTGATAAGCTGAGTGAAATCTCTGTCTCACAACCCCGGCGCCATGCAACCCACTTTTCAGGCACACCTCACGTCCTTGAGCTACTCCGGTGTCTGACAGGCATAACTGGAACATGTATACAGGTTGTCCCACAGCATTACAGTGGGGGGGGGGTCCTCCTTGTGAGCATGCCGAGGCTCGAAACCCAAGTCGTGACATCCATGAGTACAATAAAGTTATTGCTTCGGACGTTGCCCAGTCATCGGTTTGGCTCCAGTAATTGTTCAAGAATGGAATTTGAATTCATGTCAGTTGTGCTTAATTTCTTCTGGTGCTTTGTGACGATCTTGAGCGGTAATTCATTCGTCAGCACATTATCGGTCCCTGGTCTTTCAGTTTCGTAATCATTTTTACACAGTCTGTAGGACTCCTTGGACGAGTGATCAGCCCGTCGCAAGGCCTCTACCTAAACACAGGAATAAAACACATACTCAGACATCCATGCCTTTGAGTGGGGTTCGAGCGAGCGAAGAAAGTCCATGCAACCGCCGTGATAAGACTCTTCTGTGTAATAATGCCGTTTTATTCCGGTTAAAATCAATGTTTCGAAGGTAGATATTGCCTCCATCTTCAGGTTCGAAGAGTAAGTCAAGGAAGAAACTAGCATGAAGGAGGCAGCAAGCAGAACGAAGTAGAAATCTTCATGAGGAGAAAATTTTCCCGCAGTAAGCAAGTTGAATTTGAGATTATCACAGCGGTGATTATGAAGAATTAATTATCTTGGGATATAACGCCGTGTAGTCCGGATTGTTCCTGGTTTCCTTCCTTCGCCTTACTCTTCGGTCCTGAAGATATAGACTCTAAATTACTCCGAAACATATGTAGATTTCTGCTGGACTCCATGGTCTTGCATCCCAGAAGACTTGCAGCAAGGCAAAAATGCCCCTATGCTTGTTATCGTCGTCACCAGATGGAAATCAGTAGCCGTCTTCATATTTATTTCTGGACCGTGATTGGCTACGTGCAGGGACACGACATGTAAGCACGGACGCTTAGTTACGCTCACTTGATGCTCATTTTACGTTGATGCGCAGAGGAGTTCTGAGTTCTTGGCCTCCGCGTTCACCGGATATCAGTCCCTCAGATGCATTTTAATCGCCGTGTAAAGGACGAAATATGCTACGTGAAACAGATGTCTTTACAAGAATTAAAGAGAAGAATTTCAGAGGCTCAATTCCCATATGGTTCAATCCTTAAACGTACAAACTATGAACAATAATCACATAAATTCCTTTTTACCCATTCATACTTCAATGTGTTCATCTTTTTTTCGGTTTCTTTTAATTGCCTGCTTTGTTTCGGTATCGTGGTGGCACTACTGCTATTTCACTGTTGTCAAAACAATCTTAATTTAATTTTAATATGATGTCGAAAATTGATTTTCGTTAGTTTGTGAGCATTTCATCGTTGATTGTTAGGAGGCCCTGAGGGTGTTGTTCGTCCGTTAATGCGGTCCTCCGAGACGGCTTGGTAAAGTGGTGAACTCGTCCCTTGTACGTTTTTAGGAGGACCTGAAGGCAAGAGAAAATTTGGTAAGTTCACACATAAATGTGTCTCCACAGGGACCATGTTCTTTTCAGGAAGATTTCTAGTCTAAATCAAACAAAAAAAGAACTCTGTGGTTTTAGTCCGCAAGCGAACTATACCGATCGGGCGACCACCACTTGTCGGTAAAGTTAGTACCAACTTTTAGCGGATAGAGGGTGTCGCGTGGTCAGCGTAACGAATCCCCACGGTCGTTAATTTCGGTTTTCTAGAACACAACTGCTACTTTTCCTTTCAAGTAGCTCCTCAGTTATCCTCACGAGGCTGAGTGGACCCTGTTCCAGACCCACTACTTCTCATAAAATCTGGTAGCGCCGAGAATCGAACCCGGGACCTCTGGATGTGTAGCCAGGAAAACTGACCAGTAGACCACAGCAGTGGATTTAAAATAAAAGTTCAGGTATCTTAATTTTCCCTGCTGAGTTGATGTGTATAATTTTCAGTTATGTAGACGTGATGTCCGTACCGATGTAGCTGAGAACAACAGGCAGCAACACGAGACCGTGGGTCGCACCAATCAGCACAATACCCAGGTACATCCTGAAGTAGAAGATGCGAAAGATCTGAGACTTGGCGAATGCCAGAACCACAATTCCAGCGAATTTCGTCAATGTAATTCCGGATAGGACCTGCAAGAAAGCAGACAACATTAAGCAGCGTCAGGTATGAATGCTGTAATAATAGTTTAACATTTACGAAAAGGCTGATATAATTGTAAATAATTTGTTATTCATTTCATAAAGCTAAAAATATCAGCTAACTCGTTGTAGCGAAATCTTCCTTGGGAAGCTAACATTCGCTCGCAATTCACCACCTTTTACAGAGCATGAAGATTCATAACCATGATCATAACAGCCCGCCATTGGACTTGAGCCATATGAATCAAGTCCAGAACCTCATATTATTTCTATAAATTACTTTTTAATATTATTCTCGCATCTATGCCCTGCTATCTTAAGTGGTCTTCCTCCTTCAAGTTTTCAGGCTGAAATCTCTTCCATGTAAGTATTGGTAGATATTCCAATCTTGATACTTTCGGGTGTGAGGGATGAAGGGACGGAAACGACGGTACCACCTCTGTATAACATCAGTTCAGAACAGATTGGTCACTAGCATACTTGTATAGGGCTCAACTTGACTTAAACTAAAGCATTTCAGTTTTTGCTCAGGTATTAGTTGCTGAATCATGCTGCCAACACGACTTTTGTGGTTCCAACTTCCTGCATTTCATCATAACCCTCAATATTAAAGTCCTTCACTGTAAGAGGCTTTTTTTATTGCTAGTGGGGTGGGACTAAGTCCCTTGTACTGCGGCCACTTCTGGCCTATTGTACCAGCCCCAGATGATAGGTGAGTGTGATTGTGGAGCAATTGGTGGAATGAAGATTGGCAGGGGAAACCGAAGTACTCGGAGAAAACCTGCCCCAGCGCCACTTTGTCCACCACAAATCCCGCTTGACCAGACCCGGGATCGAACCCGGGCCGCCGTGGTGGGAAGCCAGCGACTAACCGCTTGAGCTATGGCGCGGCCTCTGTAAGAGCCTTACTAATGGTTAATTCTCCGTGGAGTGTCTCCTAGAGAATATGAAAGTAATCATGGTTTCATAGTCAAGATTACTTCTGAACGAGAAGACGGCAAAGAGCTTAGTAGAAGAGTTTACAATAAGGCCACGGGAAGGAGTTCTGTTGGTGGTGGGGATGGCGGCGCTCCAGGGTTCTCCTTCCTTTTGAGGCTATTGGTTTATTCCCCTCCACCCGCATTCGTCCCAATGCAGCCATCTCAGAGCGCATGTCAGGACCACGGGTCTCGCTACCAGCATATCTGTGAACAGTGGCTGGAGGGGCGAAGCGCAACAGCTCGAGGGAACCGTGAGGGTAGTGGATCCATGTGATGTCATTGATTTATTATTATTATTATTGGAGGGGGTGGGTTTCCCCACGCACTTAGACCAGTTATTGGTCCATTGTGCGTCCCCCTTTAATATTCTACCAGTCTCCATACCCTACCGGTACTGGTGCGTGCTGTCAGCCCCGTTGAGCCAACGAGGTCGGCCCTCGGTACCTTTGATACTTCCCCCATCTACCAGAGGCATTGGAAACTACTTGGCCGGGAAATTATTGCCTAATTTAGCTCAGAGGTCTCCTAGAGACATGAGGTTCTTTTACGTGCCGTAAATCTACGACACGGGACACACGGCTTAAAGTCCCTCCCGGAGGACTTGTTCCCTGAATTTTTCCTCCGCCGGGTTTGAACCCGCGTACCTTGAGTCATGAGGTGGGAACGTTACCCGTAGACTACGGAGGCCGCTTTGATATCAGTGATAGTATAGCATGTAGACGCGTTGCTAAATGATGACTGTGTAAACAATGGACTAACTGGGAAGCGGTATTCTGTACGCGGTCCTTGCTACAGGTGCGTGACGCAACCATAGAAGTGTTGGAGGCGGTGTTTTCTTTGCGGCCCGTGCCGAAGTGTTATAAACAGGACAAGTCTACAGTTTAGTTAGTTGTGAGACAGTCGCCGGGCAGCAAGGACGTGAACACGAAACTTGAGGGATCTACGGTGTTGAAGCTACTACCAGACAACGGTTTATGAAGACAAAAGTAGACTGAGAAGAATTAATACGTGTTGTAGTGAACTGCTCAGTGTGAATTGGCAATAGCGCTGTAGTTACTTTTAGTTATGACCTGTAAGTGTACAGTAAATACAATTACCAATCCAAACACCGCCAGTAGTCACTCATACACATGACAGTAGATAAACAGTGCGTCTATCAGGGAAGTACGTGTGAATTGTAATTTCAGTTGCAGCACCGCAGGAATAAAAACTTTCATCTTCTTATGATCGTAATCTTTCGCCTTCTATTTTTTTCTATTATCTTTTTTCTCTCATCTCATTTTTCTTTTACTCTGATTCTTCATTTCCTTACCCTCCTCCTCCTATTAATTTTCCCTTGTAATTTATCTTCTACTAATCCTCCTGTTCTCGTCTTTCCCTTCAATGCCTTGACCTGCAAAAGTGCGCGGTCAGGGTCACAAACATTAGATCCACTCGCTACCTGCAAAACCGCAGGACTTACTGAGCTTCCTGTGTTGATAAGAGCGTCCGTTGCCCTTAGGATCCGTGTCTTCTCTGTGGACAGAATGAACGCATGCACGATGTGACTGCAGAACTCCACCGCTATCCCTACAGCCTGAAACAAAACAAAATTCGCTACATGAAGGCTGTGGCAATTCGGACAACTGCATATAAGGGTAATAACAGTGACAGGGATGGAACAGCAGGGATACTTCAGTCGGTATAGCGATAGGCTAAGGGCTGGACGGCCAAGGATCTATTTTTCTCTTCTCCATGAAGTCCAGACTGGTTCTGGGGCCCACCCACTCTCCTGTCAGAATGATACCGGGGTTCAAGAGACCTGAGCGTGAATCTGACCACTTACCTCCACTCCCTCATACATCTTCATAATGTGGTGCTTAAATAATCAAGGAACGTTGCCTTTATGACGAAAGGAGCTACATCCGGTCTGTACCAGACACATCCTCAGGAACTGGAATGGCATTGATTTTACACCAAAGTAACAGTAAACGTGTCCCAGTAATACGAGGGAGTCAGTAAATGTGTCACACGTGGATGTGAAACGTAAAACTGAAAAAGAAATGTATTTCTCGACATATCCTCCAGCAACATTGATACACTTATCCCATCGCTTTACCAATGCGTCGAAACCCGCAGCATAGAAATCTTTCGACCGTTGTCTCAGCCACTTCCGCACCTCCGTTTCAAATTCTCCGTCAGCGAAACGTTTGCCACGTTTCTGGATCAACTTGTGAACCGCTTTACGCGATAAACACTTCCCATCGTAAACAGGAAACGTTACTTTATGAATATCCTTTGCATTCAGTCCTTTTGCCCATAATAAAAAGACGCAAAACAGAACGTTCTTCGGCAGTACATTCCTCAGGAAATGTCGCCATTTTGATTACTGAAACCAGCCTTTGAATATGCGCATGCCCATCTGTTATAAATACTTTAGCGACGCTGGACTGTGCTGCTACCTAGTGATACAAAAACCTATTACGTCCATTACAGATATTTTACTTCCATTTGTGACCTATTTACTGACTCTTCCTCTTATGTTCAGATGCTTTTCAATTTGTAAGACTGATCCTGCAGAATTTTTACCCTTTATAAAGCACAGAGACAGTTTCGCCCTTACCAGATGGCGCACTCAGTACTCCGACAGCTGTCGTTGTGGATACATACGCAAACGCAAAGAGAATGTTTCTCGCCCCTGCCTAGAATGGAACTCCGGACTTTCAAGTTCCGTGACAGACAGGCAGTAACAGTGGCGCGTGGGTGTAGTACATACCATGACGAGATTCACCAGCGACACAGCGTTGAGGGAGACACTCCACCAGTACATCAAGCCCGCAAGGTTGACTACCACCATTGCTACCATGGCGACCACGATCAGCGCCGAGAATATATTGAACCCCGTCAGTACCAGGGTAGCTACGAACACAGCAGCCAGAGAGAATCCTACGGATCGGAAGGTGTCGTCCCAGATGGTGAGGTACTGCTCATAAAACACGTAGAACACGCTGCAAAACACGAAAGACATTCTCCTTAATATTCTGCTCAAAACTAAGTAAAAAAAGAAGGCAAAGCTATCCCTGTAACAGGCTATAGAGGCCCATTGGGTTGTGAGACGTTGGAGCTCCCGTTTTTGTAGACAATCGCCTCACATATGGTGGTGAGGTTCTCAGATTTATGCACCAATAGGCCACCCTTTACCCCCCCAGGAAGATTCCTGGTAATCGTTTCTGTTAGAGGCTGAGTCGACCCCAGGGCCATAGTGCGGCTGGAAGGATTAGGTAAATTGAAAAATCCAGTGACATCATCAGGAATCTAACCCGCGACCTTCCTGCTTGTATCATAGTGCCCCAACCAACTACGCTACCGCGTGCCCCCCTTCCTGAAATATTGGTAGAGTTATCAAATCAAAGAATATGAGGTTGGGTGGACCCCAGGCCAGGTCTGGACGGCTTGGAGAAGAGAAAATTCTTGACTACCGGAACTCGAACTCAGACCCCTTGATCATCCAGCCCGTAACCAGTCGCTATACCGACTACTCTAGCCTAGCTCCTACCATAGTTGTGTTCATAAATGAAACTGTGTACCTATATGGAAACACTTCCACTGAGGACGGCCCCAGATGTTCCTTCAGCATATTGGAGATGTCATCCGTTACACGTCGGGCCGATCTCAGGGCCTCGTAGTAATCTTTGGAAATCTTCAGCGTTGTGTGGTACGCCATAAAATAGCTGTCTTGTGGATGTGCTTTGTTGTTGTCATCAAGAAGGTAGTTGAGACCCTAGCAACAGAAACATGTTTCATTCTAACAGGGCAATAATTTGAAAAATGCCGTCTTCTAAGATGTGGCATCGTGTATATCTTCTGTGAACCGACCTTTCGGAGTAACGTATCGCCTCCATCTTCAGGGTAGAGAAATCCGCGATCGAGAAACCAGCATGAGGAAGTGGCTGCAGACACCTACCCAAGTTGGTTCTTCGCTAGCGGATTTCTCTACCCTGAAGATGGAGGCGATACGTTCCTCCGAAACTTCGGTTCACACAACATCTACACGGTACCACATCCCAAAAGACGGCATTCTTCATACGCGCCACTGTGGAAACCTTAAGTCTTACAGAGGAATAATTTGGCGTTCATTCGTCATTCAACAATCTACAGTTATTGTGAGGTGGGCTGGGCATGTAGAATACAAAAGGGAGATGATAAATAATAACATTTTAGGCAAAAGAAAAACTTGAGGGAAGAGAACATTTGCTAGATCCAAACATAAATGGGTGATAGTATTGATTTTAATAATATTATATGTAAGCATCCTGTTGCACTCTATACGATATATGATATAAACTCCGTCTTAATTGCAACAATTTATTGTAGGTCTTTCGTTTTCCTTTCTTCTACACTACATGTTTCGGCCGCAAACGGCCATCATCAGTGCACTAAGTGCAGTGTAACAGCTACGTGAGTGTATACACCTGATGATGGCCGTTTGCGGCCGTAACATGTAGTGTAGAAGAAAGGAAAACAAAAGACCCACAATAAACTGTTGCACTTAAGACGGAGTTTATATCATATATTAATATTGATGTTAAAGAATCAGTGTGTTGTTGATCTCACTGAATTCCTCAGGATGGGGCTAGTGGCTAATTCTTTTTAATATGGTAACGAACCATATTGTTATACTAGTCGGTTTTTTAAACCAGTTCAGCGATTATCAGTCTCTAGAAAGGTTCCTCTTGCATTGAGTTACAAGTTCCTCCGCGATTTAAAGGTCTCTGGCAGCTCCTGCATGTGACCTGGCTCACTAACGGGAGTGTAGTCTGTTATCACATCTTGATTTCAACTCCGAAACGTCGAAGCGTACGGTCTTAACTTACAGCGGTCAGATTACCTACCAGCATGTCTATCGACGAAAAATATCTTCAGCACAACGGTGCTCACAAATAAATAATTCAACACGCACGCGTGGTAATCACGTGACTGTCGGACAATACTGTTGCGAGGCTGACAGCTCTGAACGCTGATAATACTCCGTGGCTTTAGTCCGCAAGCAAACTATACCGACCGAGCGACCGCCGCTTGTCAACGAAGTTAGTGACAACTTTAGTGGATAGAGGGTGTCGCGTTGTCAGCGCAACGAATTCCCACGGCCGTTAATTTCGGTTTGATAGACTGGAGCCGATAATTTTCCATTCAAGTAGCTCCTCAGTTATCCTCACGAGGCTGAGTGGACCACGTTCCAGACACACTACTTCTCAGAAAATCTGATAGCGCATGGAATCGAACCCGGCAAGTTAATTAATAATCACTCTTACCTGGGCGTATGCTGCATGCCCACCTTTGGCGCATTTGGGCACTGGATTGCTGACAAGAAATGCAGGCAAATATTGCTGGAACTCTTCAGTGGTTGGACGCATCACGCCGTCCCTGACCGTCGAGGAACATTGTACAGGCGTTGTATCTGCAACACGACATGCGAAAAATATAAATACAATGTGCGTTTTAACTCATTGCGACCTTTACAGAAATTACTGTAACTGACGGTGACATCTGTTGGTGCTTCATCTGAACTACATAATGAAGAAAATTTGAAGAACAACAGTTTCCTACATTTGGTGTTCTTATGGAGTTTTGAAATATTATTTATTCATCAGAATAGATGGTTTAGTAAGCTAAAATTCAGTCTCATAAAGTTGCATGTATACGATGAACATATACAATTTTTACCGTCAGTGAAACAATACTTTATTATATAGCACGTACTAATGATTCAACCTCAAACGGGTCATTTTCAGGTGCTCAAAATTTCTCACATACAATGGTACGAGTACAATGGTGACGAGCGATGAGCTCGTCGCAAGGCCACTAGTCTAGAACATATACAGCGATGTGTTCGTTCTTTGTTTTAATGCCCAGAAAAATATTGAATGATATTTTCTTGTGTTCTGATCGTAATCAGTGATTTCCATATCTAATATTTGAGCACTAGTATTGTGGGGTGGATACATTTCACATAAAGTCTATGTATATCCTTCACATGTGTGGAAAAACATAATAAACTTAATAATGGGAACATTCGAAAAGATAATATTTCGGGAACAGTTGGAAATAGTAAGAGTCAATGAGGATAA